GTGTGTGTGTGTGTGTGTGTGTGTATGTGTATGTGCTTTCACGCGTGTCAGTGCGCAGAGGTGTCGCTTCCTCTGGTGATGGTTGTTATGTCATCATGTTGTCTGTGAGAGCTCAGTGGAGCTCATCGACATCTGCCAGGTTTTCATCTGTTATTTATCAAGATGACGCAAAGGCTACAGATTTCCCCGAAACTTGTTGGAGAGATGCATTATGGGTCAGGGAAGAACTCGTCAGAAGTCTTAGTAAATGTATTTAAATAGCGTTCTTCTACTTTTGACAAATACAGTACAGTAGAGATCCTTACACATTCATACAGTGCATCTATGTGCTGCTCTCTCTCACACATACACTACTAATACTGGGCTCGTATCGCCAACCCTCTGGTTAGTGGACGACCCGCTCTACCTCCTCAGCCACAGCTGCTTGTATAGTCAGCGGAGGTTTGATCTCTACGGACATTCTGTCAGAGATTGATCTTAAATTCTAATAAAAATGCACAGTGATTATTTGACTTCCTGTCTTGTGTGTATGTTAGTTATCTTCAGGTGTCTATTATCAGAGATGGATGATTGACTGTGCACGTTAGTGAACAAAGCCCCACGGAGGACTGAAGCATGAAGCTTTGAAAGATGAGCAGGCGTTATCCACTTGTCATGAAGCTTAAAGAACGCTCTGCATTCTCTGAGTGTGTAAACCTCTGTTCACTTCACTGTAATGGTGACACAGAACAAACTGTTAGCATAGCCACAGGCTCGCTATTAATCTGCAGCTAATCAGCTAAGCCTGGAATTCATAGTCTCATAAAGAATCCACTCCTGAGACGGCCTGAAGCTTGAAAAGACTCGCTGAGCTGGAGGATTAAGTTACTGGGCTTTATTCTATTGTTACTGGGATTTGCACCATGAGTTTGTCTTTTCAAGGGAATGTTTGTTATTTCTGCAATATTGTACAGTTGAGAAAAAATAAGATGGGGCAACCATGTTTGGAGAAAATTGTAATTTGAGGAAACTGTAATATTAAGAAATGTGTGGGGTTTTTTGAAAACCTGATTTCTACATGTGGGAAACACCAGAAGATTGAAAACTAAGATACTTCCTGTGACTGAATCACATGACTGTCATATGGCTTTGTTTCCAAACGTCTCTGTTCTGCCCGTCCAGAATAATTTGGATGATACAAAAAGTGAGTGAACCATAAATATCGATACACAGACTGATGTGTTGGTGAAATGCTGATAAAAACATAACGTCCCCGGTGAAGGTGATAAAATCAGGAAAACAATGAAACCTGTTCACAATTAACTGGGAATTCAGTTATTAAAACAGAAAGTGTAAAGAAATGCAGTCACTTATCACGACCATTTATAAAAGGACTCTGAGACTGAAGGCACTGAAATGAACTTGTACTATTTATACTAATGATACTGGATGTGATCCACCTCCTGCCTCACAGAGACAGTCCACCTCACGTCCCTGCAGAAGAGCTCTCCACCGACACAGTGATCCAGGTCATCAGTAACATGACCCAGACCATCAGGCTGCACTTCCCCAACCTGACGGTCTATCCTGCCCTGGGGAACCACGACTACTGGCCACAGGTAACTTTGTGTCACAGGACGACGGGCAGCATCTCAAACTTTGCTCAGGGAAAAAAGATCCAGGGATGAAACTGACGTCATGTCGGAAAATTACATATTATTTTTATTGACAGACAAAATTACTTGCACTCAGATTTCCTGTGCTCCAGCTTCAGCTCTTCTGCTCACTGCTTCTGTGAGTGTCTACTCAATGTCTACGCTCTGATTTTGTTCTTCTGTGTTTGGATTTTTTTGTTCAATGCGTCTGAAGTAAAGCTGTTTTGAGCTTCCTAGTTTGAGTTAGACTTCCTGTCTGCGCGTTAGAAGAAGAAATGTTGACACGTTAATGGAGCAGGAGTTCAGCAGATCTCTGGTCAACACGGAGCAGAAAAAACAAAGCTGTGAAGTTTCTTTACATTATGAAAAGTCTGTTGCCAGTAACTATAAAAACAAAACATTGCTGCCCTGTTTCATTTCCTCTTGTATTTTATAAAAACCACCAAAGCAACCACAACGAGAATGAGATTGAAGAGTGAGACTCTTTAAATGTTGAAGTTATTGCATTTTAGAAACATAATGTAATTCCAGTTAAATTATTTCATGATAACTTTCACGTTCATAGTAACATGTTGCAGCGTAGCATGCTGCCACATAACAATTAGTGCTTTTTGTTGCTAAGTGTTTTACGTCTTTGTTCTCAGGACCAGATGCCGGCCGTCACTAATGCCATTTACGAAGCTGCTGCCCAACTGTGGAAGCCCTGGCTGCAGAATGAAGCTCTGCTCACACTCTCCCAAGGTAACATCTTAGTACAGATGCCCGCAGACACTCTGGTTCAGGGGGCTCACTGAATAACACAGTCATTACTTAGACTGTGGCGGGCCGTCGTAGTATTATTATGACCCAACGTCTCTGTGTCATTACACACTCATTAGAATGTATAAGATCTGTTTTGCTGTTGCTGTGCTCCTCGTCTTTTGTCTGTCTCTGTCTCCCCTCCTTACCGTCCTCACAGACTGCCACACTTTGTCATAGCTTTGCCTGAATGTGCGTTTTACTGTGAAGGATATGAAGTTCTCGGCAGGCAGGACGAGCACAGTCTTTATCTGTTGTCCGTGCTTTTAACTGCACATCCTTTTCGAGAACGCCCACGCTTACGCTTAGCTGAGGCTACGAGGGAGGACTGTAAAAACCTTATGGATGTTTTGACGGCACATCATGCCAGATTTTCTGTGCAAACCCCCGAGATATTCAGTTCCCAGTGATAACATGATGAAAAGCTGGAACCACAGAATGTTTGTTTTTTATGTAATAAGATAAAACCACAGCGTCTTATGCTAACACTCACATAAGCACCAGGATTCATTTCATGCTTTGTTCTTGTTCCTGCAGGTGGTTTCTACTCTCAGCTGGTAAAGCCTGGTTTGCGGGTGGTCAGTCTCAACACTATCCTTTACTACGGACCTAATAAAGTCGCAAGTAACATGACGGACCCTGCGGGACAGTTCGAGTGGCTGGAGAAGACTTTAGAGAAAGCTGCTCAGAGTCAGGAGAAGGTTGTGACACTTTCTGTCTTTATCTTGTACGACTATCAAATGAATCACGTCCTGGTACATTGGCCATAGTTTTTACTGAGGCCCATTTTTACCACAGAGGACACAGTTGTCCTCAGTGTCTGTGATCCTGTCACCTTTACTCCTGTTTGTGTGAGTAGAGCAGGGATTTAAACGTGGCCGTCTTCCTGTTCAGGTGTACGTTATTGCCCATGTACCAGTGGGGTACCTGCCCTTCACACAAAGCATCACCGCTATAAGAGAGAGCCACAATGAGAGGCTGGTTTCCATCTTCAGGAAGTACAGTTATGTCATCGCAGGTCAATTCTATGGCCACACCCACCGTGACAGCATCATGGTGCTGCTGGACAAAAAAGGTAACGCGATACTTTGAGATGTTTTATATTTTATATTGAGCCTCTCACAGGTTTGTCTTCTGTTCTGCAGGTAAACCACTGAATTCTCTTTTCGTGTCACCGGCTATCACACCGATCAAACACGTTTTGGAGCCGTACTCTAACAACCCGGCTTTCCGCATGTACTTGTACAACGCCAAGGATTACGCTATGTTGGTAAGAAACTCTGTGATACACAATCAGATCATGTCTCACTCACACATCCCCTCTTTCCACCGAATGTGAAATGCTGAGTGAAGCAACTACACATCCCATCAACCATTGTGAATGAATGTCCAGCGACTTCCAGCTGCTCTTTGTTAAATTTAACTTTGTAGTTTGTATCAAAATCTCTATATTTACTGAAACAGTATGTGTCATGAAGAAAAGTGAGAGAGCCACATAAAAACTGTCCAGTGACAAAGTAAATGTACTCTGTTCTATCTCACGACTGTTTGAAACCATATGGACAAATTTAGATGAAACTAGAAATGTCGAACTTTTTATCTCCTGATCAAAGCCGGGAGAGAAAGTCCCTCCTGATGATTAATCACGGTGTCAGTCACCAAACAAAAACTGTTTCTGTTTCAAAAAGACCCAAAGACGTTTTTTTCTTTCTCCCCCCCCCCCTCTCCCCTCTCCCCCTCTCGGTGCCTTTCTCTCTGTGAAGGATATCTGGCAGTACTATTTGAATCTGACGGAAGCCAATGAGAAACAAAGACCTGACTGGAGGCTTGAATATATCATGACTGAAGCGTTTGGACTGACTGACCTGCAGCCACAAAGCCTGCTGCAGCTGGGCCTGAGCTTCAGGCTGCCGCAGACCAAGGCCTTTGACAAGTACTTCAGGAACTTCATGGTGAGCTACAGCAGCAGAATCATCTGTGAGGGCGAGTGTAAGGTCAACCAGGTGTGTGCTGTGCTCTACCTGGACCAAGCGTCCTACTCCAAATGTGTCGCCAAGGGAGAATGGTAACGTGAAGCTGGATCCGAGTGATGGACTCTGAAAGGATTTGTCTCAGGTGTCGTTTTTTAATTTTTTGAAATGATTTATTTTTTTACAATGTTTTCTCATAAATGTTGTAAACATGACATTTGAAGTATTCTGGATTTCCTCCAAGCTTTTAATTCATCAGGTGATTTAAAAAAAAAAAAAATGTTGGCATCAAAACCAAATCCACTGTTACATTCCCTCATTCACAATTACAAAATTAAAAATCTATTTGTCTAAAAATACTAGAAATCCATGTCTGTGTGTATGAGTGTTTTTTTATAATGTCACTTTCCCAGTGTTGACCACGCAAAACACAATTCACACACGTACATTACTCATGCACAGCTGTCAGGGCCAATTCGGAGTTCAGTATCTCGCCCGGGCAGAATGGGGGAGACTGGGACGGGCCCACAGACTCTCTTTGTGCAGCAGCAGGTCTTTATTTTGCCGCGGCTCCATCACTGCAGGTCACTTTTACAGTTCCAGGAAGAAAAGCTGCAACCAGCATCACCACAGAGCAAGAGAGTTGTCTTGAGTTTATATCGAGTATGTTTGAATTAATGAGACCAGCTTCCAGACATGAAATGAGAACAATCATGTGACATCGCAGAGAGAGTTTTGGTTTTAAATAAAAAAACTTTATTCAAATATTCCTGGTTATAAGAGCATGTGCTGTCTTTGTGTGTCACAGATTTTAAAGAACGTTAACTTTCAGCGTTGTAAGAGTCGGTGACGTAGAACCTGTGCAGGCTTGTTTCTCTCTGCTGGAGAAGCAACCGAGACAAACCTCATTTGACCCTCTCACTTCAGCTACACCCCCTCACACCACCGCTGCCCCCCCGATCTTATTCTTCTCCCTTCCAAACTTTCTAGAAACCTCCATCTCGTTTCTCAGCCAACATCTCAAGCATCTCCCCCCCCCCCCCCCCAACTCTATTGTCCCCTCACTCGCAGCTCAGTGTTAAACTGCATCCACTCAGATCACCAAAAACTCTGCAACAGAAACAAACAGTCTTCCTTGTGTTTTGGCGTCAGTGGCACAAACTAAGGTGCTGCAAAATAAATCTTAAATGTCTGATGAGAACCTTAAAGTCTTTAAAATATGGAGGATTTCAAAAATAAAACCAGAGAGAGTGATAGAGTAGAAGTGAGGTTCCTTAGGGGGGGTGCAACACCTCCTACTGGTGAGGGACAGTAACTGCAAGCCCAAAAGATTTCAAAGAATCAATTAAAGAAACTTTTATTCAGTTTTCTACTGAAACATTTTGATGAGTGACAGTAACACAGACCAAAGATAAACCACCTTTCATTTTATTTCATAATGTTTGCTTTCACTTTCGAACTTTGAGCATATTTTCCGTGGAGACTATTTTATGCAAACGTGACGTAGATGACGTGATAGCATTGTGTTGTTAGTTTGTTTGGTTAAATGTGTTAAATTGTTTGCTTTTATAAAACTGGTTTAAAAAGTTGTTGGACGTTGGAATGAATGAAAATAATTATTAGTTGTGCACTTGATCCCTGGTTTGGACACAAACTATAGAAAAAGGTCATTTAGATCCTTGAAGAGTGAAACTGTGTGTGTGTGTGTGTGTGTGTGTGTGTTTCTTCTCATGTTCCCTCACAGCACATTATTATTCACAACCAAACCCCGGCCTCCCTCGGCTCAGTGCCGGACACACCGTAACCGTGGAGACAGAGTTGGTGGTGAGCATGGCGATGGAGAGGACCTTATCGCCACGGTAACGGCAGCAGAGCTCCCAGTCCTCTGAGTCCGTCTCTGTGCTGTTATTTAACCTCTGAGCTGCCAAACAGCAAATAACGTCTGTGTGTTTCCACCGGGATGAGAACATACAGACGTCTGCTGAGTTTTAGGCTCGAAGACAAAGTGACTCCATGATAAGATAAGAAATAGAATACAGAGAGGAAGCAGGAACAATGAGGAACAGTGCAAAGTTATCTTTGTGAGCAGGATATCTCAGGAACACTTTTTGGTTATTTTAAGAACACCCCAAGAAGATAATTTTATGAAATGAAACCTGAGTGAATGCTACTTTAATCTCCGCCTGTTCAAAGTGAAGAGTCGTGGCAGCAGATCTGAGCAGACGTTGCTGCAGGAGGAAGGAGAGAATCTTCACGATGAGCTGGTAAATGTCCGTCTGACGGGCCCGGCGCCCGACTGACCCACATGTTCAGGTTTGCATATACATTTGCGCTTTTGTTCCAGTCGGCCGGCTGTCTGTCTGCTGACTGGTGGAGCCTCTCAACCAGTTAATCTGAGGATTACTGTCAGGACAGTATAGCCATCCAACCACCCTCTCCTGGGGAGCAGGAATCTGTGTGTGTGTGGTTCAGATCACCATTACCCTTCAGGCCTTCAAATCCCTTCATTTTCAAACCTCGTCTCAGATGAAGAGCAGGTTTGCTCCTCACTGCTGATATCAGGAGGTGACTTTGTTTGGACGAGGCTGCAATATGAGTAAACTGTGTCATTCTAAAGATCTCAGTAAGATTTCCACATAGCTAATCAGGACCTCTCGTAAAACCTTTGCTAATGAGATGGAGACACATCTGAAGAGAAGTCTCCATTCAATGGCAGCAAATCTCCACCAACAGTTTCCTGAGGTCGGAATAAATAATCTACTAACTGTTTCCTTTTATTCCTTAATAAATCCACAGATACAGTAAGAAATGTGTGAGTTCACGAGAGTCGACCAAATATTCAAATAAGTTCTGAACTCAACCTTTTTAAAATCTAACAGTAGTTTTCTTCTTTTTGTTCTGTTCCCCTGCTCTTTTTTTTGGGGGGGGGGGTTGTCCAAGTTGGCACAGCCACCATCAGAGAATGATGTAATGGGCTCTCTGGAGTCTGATTGGCTGTCGAGGAACTGCCTATGGTCGGCCCATAGAAAGGAGCGATTTGGGCGACAAGAGGTTTAGAGCAAAGTCCAATCTGAGACTGGACCCCCCACTAGTGTACATACGCTACACACACTCACACACTCACACTTCACACACACACTACACACACTCACACACACTAACCTCGGATTGCTTGTTGTCGTCCCCATCACTGATGAAGGAGCCCATTCATGGCCGCTGACAAATTACAACTGAAGCATGAGAGTAAAGAGACCCCCCCACCCCTGTGTCTCTGCCTCCATTATAAACTGTGTGAGACTTGGGTGTGAGACAATATCGCAGTGTGAAAGGAGCTTTATGTTGAAATGCTCTGCACATCACACAGTCAAATAAAATATGTTAAATATGACATTTAACCCCAGGATGTGAATAAGTTTCACTGAAAATAAGAGTGATTCATTTTTACCTCCACCAGAGAGGATGTTTGTTTGAGAGCAAGATTACACAAAAACACAACCTGATGGAAAGAAGCTGTTGAGAAGAACCCATCACATTTTGGCCAAATCCAGTGTTTTAAACACAGGCTGCAGGTAAAGCTGGTTAATTACACAGATCAGACTGAAATGAAACACTGCTTAGTTCACAAAGAAGAAAAAAGAGAATGAGAATAATTCATTTTCAGTCAGTTCTCAGTCGAACTTTACAACATACAGAGACAGAGAAGCCTCGAGACATTTAATGAGATCAGCTGCACAGTGATTAGCAATTAAATACTTGAGTAGATAAAATACAAACAGCAGTTAGATGTGAGCGTTCAGAGAATATTCGCAGAGTTATCGTCCCGATATCAGGACATAAACATGAAGTCAAACTAATATCAGGATTTTATTCAGATCTTAGTAGATCTAAGTATAAAGCCGACTTAGGAACAAATGGTGTAAATCACTCAGAGTCCAGACAGGGTGTGTTTAACACAGACGGATTAGACGAGGTCTAGAAGGAGAAGGTAACCTGAGTTCAGAGATGAGCTCACATGAAGCTCGTTGGTGTCGTCATCACTGCAACAAACCTCCAGACCCACAAGGTTTGTTAGAGAGACAAGAAACATTATGGCCACTGACACTTTCAATAAGGAGGTTTGGTTTTCTTCTGTTTCTGTTTTTTGACTGTTAGTTTGCAGACAAACTACCGGACAGTTTCTATGAAACTTGGTGTGAGGATGTGGTTTGAGTCAGGGCAGAAGTCGCTATTGACTTTCACTTTCTTTAACTTTGAGAAAAAGGACATTTTTTGTTGATTTCTCAAAGAAGAGTCCATAAAAAAACAATCAAAGTTTATTCATGAGTGTGGTGCAGAACCAAACAAAGATCAGGATCCAGTGAATTATGTTGTTTTATTAGGAGACATTTGGGCCTTGTCGTTTTTAGTTTACATCTAAAATGATAACTCAAGTCGGACTTTTGAAAAAACATAGGAGACAACATGTCTGATCTTTTCACTCTCAAACGTATAGCTGTGAAATTAAAGGTTCAATTTGTGTTTCTTTTTCACCTGAAGAAAAGCTGAACCATTTGCTCCGTCAGTCACTGTCGTACAGTAAGAAGCAGAACATCTTGGCCTTGTACTTTCATTTTCTGTGGGTGATATTCCTGCTTCTCTCAACAACATACACACAGACACACAACACTTATATTTTGTGCACAATGACTTTAACCACTTTGAATAATCTACAGGTTTAGACTCAAAACCAAACAAAACGCCACAGAAACCTGAAGAGGGAAACACAGATGATGCACTTCACAACCATCTGTGGAGCTAGAGAGCTACTGTGTGTGTGTGTGTGTGTGTGTGTGTGTGTGTGTGTGTGTGTGTGTGTGTGTGTGTGTGTGTGTGTGTGTGTGTGTGT